AGGCTCAGGTACCTGAAAATAATAAGATAAAGAGATTTCAATAAGTTATGTCTTTATTGGCTAATAATAGAACCAATATAAAATGATCGTTGATGATATTGTTAATATAATGTAGCGCTCAATATTATTAATATTGACGAGGATCTTGAGCTCAAATCTGTCATGAAATTTGGACAGATAAATGATTGGCCAAATGAAAAATACGCAATGAAAATTGATTTCACCTGAAAAATATGAAGTTAGACGGATAGTCCCAATACCTGAAAGTATAAAGCCACTTGGCTTAAATGTGTTCTTGTGCGAAAAAAAGGTCAAGTTGATAAACATAAAGACGATTTGTGTCACAAGAAAATTTGTAAATATCCTGGCATTGATTATATAGAGACATGTTCTCCCGTGGTAGATGTCGCTATTTCAGGTTTTAATCTGGCAATACAAGAAAAATGTGATATACGTATAATGGAAATCATTGAAGGATTTAAATTGTTCTGAAGCATATTAAGGTTTCCAAGAAATTTATTAAATAAAACTTCAAAAATCCTTATACGGATTGAAACAATCAGGGCACATGTGGTATAATCGCCTGAGTGAGTACCTGTTGAAAGAATGGTACAAGAATGATTTAATTTGTCCTTGTGTCTTAATAAAAAGATTTGGATCTAAATTTGTTATAATCACCGTGTATGTTGATGATTTAAATATCATTGGAACTCCTAGGGAGATTCCTAAAGCAGTAGACTATTTAAAGAAAGAATTTGAAATGAAAGATCTTGGAAAGACAAAATTTTGTCTTGGCTACAAATTGAGTATATGAAAGATGGAATTTTTGTCCATCAATCAGCATACACTAAAATGATTTTAAAGCGATTATATATGGATAAAACACATCCATTCCGACCTCATGAAAATAATGAAAAGCTTCTTGATCCCGAAGTACCATATCTTAGTGCAATTGGTGCACTAATGTATCTTTCTAACATTACAAGGTCTGGCATAACTTTTTCAGTTAATGTCTTAACAAGATATAACTCTGCTCCTACAAGGAGACATTATAATGAAATCAAACACATATTGCGGTATCTAAAAGGGACTACTGATATGGGATTATTTTATGGCAATGATTGCAGTCCCGATCTTATTGGTTATGCCGGTGCTGGGTATTTATATGACTCACACAAGGCTTGATCTCAAACATGCTATGTGTTTACATATGGAGGTACTGCCATATCTTGGCGATCGACTAAGCAATCAATCGTGGCTACTTCATCTAATCATGCTGAGATAATTGCTATTCATGAAGCAAGTCGAGAATGTGTATGGTTGAGGTCTATAATACACCTTATTCAAGACAAATGTGGTTTGAAGTGTGACAAACTACCTACAATTTTGTATGAAGACAATACAACATGCATAACCCAATTGAAGGGAGGATTCATAAAGGGGATAGGACAAAGCAAATTTCATCAAAATTATTTTTCACACATGATCTTCAAAAGAATGGTGATATCAATGTGCAACAGATCCGTTCAAGTGATAATATGGCTGATCTGTTCACCAAATCTCTACCGACGTCAACCTTCAAGAAACTAGTGTATAAGATTGGGATGAGAAGGCTTAATGATGTGAATTGATGTTCTCATTAGGGGGAGTTAATACGCGTTGTACTCTTTTTTCCTTACAAGGTTTTGTCCCACTGAATTTTTCTTGCATGGCTTTTAACGAGGCAACCAAAAGGCGTATTTCTAAACACGTGTACTTTTTTTCTTTCACTAGGATTATTTTCCCATAGGGTTTTTTCCTAATAAGGTTTTAACAAGACACATTATCTATGGACATCCAAGAGGGAGTGTTATAAGAAAAATCAAATTATGGTGGATGTCTACTCTTCCTCCATGATCTTCTCAAATGCTTAATGACATATTCAATGATATATTTCTATGCTTAATGACATATTCAATGACATATTTTTCTTCACTTTTCATGCCTATATAAAGGCCTTGTAATAGATAAGAAAATGCACACAATTGAAGAAGAAAATCTCTTCCTTCTCTCTATCTCCATTTCTTGTTCATGTTTTACTAAATTGCTTTTATTTGATAACAACATGTCTTGTTCATATTTTACTAAATTGCTTTTATTTTATAACAACTACTTATTTGAAAGTACAACTTTTTACTCCTAAGCATTTTACTTATGCATATAAATAGAAGTGTTGATTTTTGGGTTATTGTTTAGAGGCCAAGTTTTGTGTGTTGATAGTGTATATGAAAATTTTATACTGTTAAGTTGACCTATAACAATATCTAAGTCTTCGTAGCATATTTAATTTGGTAACCTAGAAATTTGACTAATAACATGTTACTGTTGTTAAATGTTACTGCTAATAGTGTAAAGATTCTATATATTTATATTAATTTCAAACTTGTGCAATAGAAATTTCATGTGGGGTTTCTTTTCTCCTATTTTTCTTATAAATATTCCATCTAAAGACGAAAGATTCAAATTGAGTTAACAACGACCAAAAGATTACTAGATTCAAACTCGTGACATTTTGATCATTCAACGTCCAAATAATAGTCAAAGAAGTAATTTATGAAGGAAAAAAAAAAATTAAACGAAATAATTGGGAAAACTAAACATTAAAGTTGCTCCCAAAATTAATAGCTGGCAAAATGTACAGTTTGTATATTAATGGATAATATGCATATAATATACATATATCTTTGTATATTTTTGGCTAGGGAATGTAATTACTTTTGGCCGAGCAGCCAAATGTGTAACTTGTCCAAAATAATTTTGGGCTAAGTGCGCCAGTAATGACTTTTAAGGCAGTTGTTTAAAATATATCCACAGTTTATAACGTATTTAAAGAATAGCCTTTTCACCCAAACTTTAGGACTAAGTATATGAATTTGGAATTCAGGACTTAGTGTCCTAAATTTTTGAACTGCTAAATTCAAGACATAAGATTCGAACTTCTGGGCACAATTTTCGAACTTTAGGACACGATGTCCTGAAGTTTCAACTTTTAGGTTTAAATTTTGAAATTTGAGCAAATTAACTAATCTTTAAATACATTGCAAATTGTGGATATATTTAAAATAACATGCTTAAAAATGACTACGTGATGTCATTTCCACAATAATTTCACCCTCGATCTCGAAGGCCCAATTAAACTTGGGCCTTCAAATTTCAAAATCCAAAACAAACACTAGAAAGTCCAAGAAGTATCTGGCCCAAATTGCAAGGGGATTTTTATATGATATGACAACATATGTATATCAAAATGCATATCCTAACTTTTATTTTCCTTTTTTTGTGTATATCAAAATGTATATTAAGATTTAATTTTCCTTCTTTGTATATCTAAAATATGAAATTATAAATATAGTTGCTTAAAATTTATTGTTGTCTCCATAACAATGTATATCACAATGAAAATAATTGTATTGTTTGTATATCGTAGTGCATAACCCATCAAATAATATGCATATCAAAATATATATTACAAGTTTATTTTTCTTCTTTGTGTATATCAAAATGTATATTAAGATTTAATTTTCATTCTTTGTATTTCTAAAATATAAAATAATAAATATAGTTGCTTAAAATTTATTGTTGTCTCTATATCAATGTATATCACAATAAAAATAACTATGTTGTTTGTATATCGTAGTGTATACCCATCAAAACAATATGTATATTAAAATATATAATACAAGTTTATTTTCCTTATATATATATATATATATATCAAAATGTATTTAAAAAGTTTATTTTTTTCTTTGTATATATATATATGACACAATTTTCGTGAGAATATTATCTCAGTTCTCAAAACTAAAGAGAAGTAACTTCCAAAACGTCCCGAGTCAAGTCCTCCCTAAGAAATCGCTACGTCAGCTTTGTGCTTGTTATTATGCCAAATAAGGCTACTTCAACCACCCACTTAATTTGAAGCTTTTTTATTGAATCAAGTAATTTTCTGTTAAGTTTCCGACGCGGAGTAGTCGCTGTTGTAAAATTCCGGCAATGGAGATTTCGTTTAAGGTCTCTAAGTCCGGTTTAAGGTTTCGGTCCAAATCATTGGTGAAATCCAAACTCTCAAACTTTAATTGAACACCTAACCAATTATATTTTTTTATATCATGAAAGAGATAGGACAGATAGAAGAAGAAATATGGGGGAGAGAGGGAGAGGAAGATGACAAAGAGAGGTAGAGAGGAGGTTACAGGGGGAGAATAAACAGGGAATTAGGTTTTTTGGGGTTTTGGCTATACAATGCTATTATTTTGGGGCTGCCTTTGCTAAATGTAATCTAAGGCCAAAGATTTGCCAATTCCTATCGTATGTTGTCACCGGGTGCCAATTACTCAATTGCAAGAATCAAGTAACTTTTCGATTTTCATTGCTTGAGCTTGCTCGAGTTTACTTCATAATCTGCACTTTTCTTTGTGTTGATAAATCATGATTCGTATGAATATATTGGCGAAAGTACCATAGAATCACCAGAGTTAAACCCTAGGTTGAGAAATTGAAATTTAAAACCCTAATTTGATCGAAAACAGAAATTGGGAACAATGCCTCAAGTGAAGATAGTAGCCAGGAATTTCATGGACATGGTGGCTTCACTGCTTGCAGTGAAGCTCGACATGCTCTACGACAATTCCTTTATCTGTGAAGTCATCCTCAGGTTAGAGTTTTTTTTTGTTGCATAGCCATTTTTATATGCGCAAACTTCGGTTTCATAATTAGTTAATCCTTAATCTTGCCGTTTTTATTTATTTTTGCAATTTAAACTGGATGTAATCTTCACAATTGTTTTTTTCTAATGTTTGATAAGTAGTGTGTAAGTTTGTGGATGCAAAAGAAATTTGATTTCTTTTTGAGCTTATTATTCTGGAGAAATGAACTTCAAGCTAGGCACAAGTATAATACACACAGAGACACAAATATATAATGTTGAACAATTTGAGAAAATATTATTACTTATTATTTAGTTCAGTGGTTCACCTCGGCTATAGCGAGGAGATACTATGGGAACCAACAAGAACTATGATTGTGGATGCGATTGTCTTTTTGAATCTGATAAAATGTAGTTCTACAAAGAGAATATATATCGAATATGATGAATCTAATGAACAAAATAAGTTCTAGAAGACCTTGTTGATGTGATGTAAATTTGTAAATTAATCATGCTAATGATTACTTGGACATACTGAAAAAAGTGAAAGAAAAAAATATCTTTCTTTTTTGGCAGGCAAAAAAGGTACTAGTTTATTCGAAAACAAAAATCTCTTTTGGTGATAGTATTTAGAAATATGCTGTATTAGGTGTTTATTTTATTCATTTCTTCTGCCAGATCGTTACCTCCCTTAGCAAAGAAGTATGTGCTACAATTGTTGTATATAGACATACCGATCTCGGCCAAGTCAATGGAGGAGTGGGTGCTTCCAGATGGATTCTCAAAGCATAAAGTTGCCATTGATAGATTGATACAGCTGAGAGTAATGACGGAAACATTTGACAGGTTATTTAGCAGATCCTTCTCTTTCTTGATAGCTGCTATTCTCTTTTCTTGATTAATGCTGTTTATTCCAATTTTAGTAATGAAAGTGGTAGTTAGCCTTTCAGTGCGCCTGGCAATTGCAATACTTCCTGTCCGGTAGCATAGGGAGGTTGGAACTTATATACGAATCGATTTTCTGTTAGTGCTTGAGCGTCTGATGGAGAAGGGATCACTATTGTAAATATATTTGTAATATGCATCTCCTGGAGGCTATTGTTTTAATGAAATATTAACCTTTTTCTCAAAAGAGAGTGCTGGAGTGCGCTTAAAACAAGCTGTTTAGACAGCTTTGTATTCTCAGATTTCTAGTATTTAAAGACATTAGTTTCTACATCCTAACCTATATACCGTTTTACTTGCTCTTTATCTTGTTTTCATGTTTTCCTCTAGCACTCTAAATGATGATATGTGAGCTAGTTTAGAACCTTGCTCAAAATAATCATGATCAAAGGGAATATCTTGAAATGCGAATGCTTGCTTAGCTTTATTTTGTTTTCATGTTGCAGTTTTTGCTCTTACAAGCATTATAGATGTTTTAGGTTTTTGTGTCATGCCTCAACTGTTGCAATAATAGTTTCCTCTTCATAAGTTATAGTAGAAATTATAGGTTATTGAAATCGTGCCGCAACTATTGGGATGATAGTTAACTGGTCAGGGCGGTTCATTATTGCTTTGCTGAAGACACTGTTAATCCCCAAGTTTAAATTCAATCTAATTGGCTCTAGTTTCTTGTCAATTTTCACTTTTTTGTTTTAGTTAGTTTTTGATTGTTGACCGCTGCCATTCTCTTTGATTTTTACAGGAAGAAGGAAGCCATGTATCGATTAAATCCAAAATTTCAATTTAATCTTCAGAAGCATATAGTCCATGGGTAAGCTTCCTTATCTTGTGTATTTTATTTTTCTTTAGGTAGTTAACGATTTAAAAGGGCCTTCTTTGAGACTACTGGTTTAAAAAATGAAAGTATACGCACAATTAGATGAATGACTAGCCAGTGGGCAGTGGGCACTTAAATCACGTGGACACCAGACTCCGTTCCTATTAATCCCAGTTCCAAGCAGCACGACCAGTTCTAACAAGAATAACATTATGAAATAAGAAAGATACATGAGGAACAATAAGGAAATAGTTAAACAGAGGAGCACAAGTTGCAATAGCATCTACTACAGTTTTGCTTTCTTCTGTTGGTTATCACAATGCATTGGTTAATTTTGTTCTTTCTTATTCAAAATTTAAACTTTGGGAGAAAGCTAAAGTCCAAACTTGCTCCGTCCAGTAACTAGTTTTTGCGAATTCATCTGTTTGTTAACACATCCCATCAGTTTTTTGTACACTTTTGTAGTAGAACAATCTTTATTTGGTTTATTCAGTATTTCATTTCTTTTTTGGGTAGAAGGCATGCCAACTTGTAATGTAGATTTAAGATGTACTCTCTCTCTCCCTCTCTCTCTCTCTCTCTCTCACTCTCTCACACACACACACACACACACACACGCGCGCGAGCGCGTGCGCGCACACGCACACAGTATATTTCTCGCTCAAGGATCTCCAGTAGTTGGTCATTATAGGATTATGGAGTTGTGATGAGCTGCTGTCTTTGAATTTACTGTTATTTTTTAAAGTAGGCTGACAGTTTTGTTGGAGTGGATAAGTATCTTCCAGTCATTAGAGCGCAAGACTCTTACTTGTGGTTTTGGGTTTGAGCCCAATGGTGTGACCATTATTATTTTCCCTAATTTGTCTTAAAAGATAAATTATTGCATATTGGAATAAAATGTGCCCAAATAGAGTTGAATAAATCATTGTTGTTAAAGACTCGTTTAGAGCGTGCTGAAGCTCGGAGAAGCCCAGATTGTGCTCTTTGCTTAATCGGCGGTTTGGGGTAAGCATCAAGGTGCTAAGGCATGTGCACCTTCGCCAACGGGTTCTGTTTTTGACGGCACAACAGCAAATATATAGTTTTATTGTAGTTTTCCCATTCTTATTGTTACATTTTCTTGCATTACATTTCTATATTTTTATTTTTCTTCATTGGTGCTTCTAATACTTTTTATTTGTATACATAGCATCTAATATTTTCTATTCGTATGTGTATAATATTGGCATTCGATGAGATTAAATGGAGTGACGTGGTGAGTGATGATTCATTTGGCCGATCCCAACTTGTTTAGGACTGAGTCGTGATTGTTGTTATTGTTGTTGGCGCCTGCACTTTTCACTTAAAGATCCAAAGGTTTTGGCTCTTTTGGAATTGAGGCATACTGTTCAGCCAAAAAGGAAAAAGAAGAAACTATTTTGGTATTGAGGCATAGTTGTTATTGTTGTTGTTGGATAAGTATCTTCTCAGTTGTGTATATGTTTGTCTTATTCGTGCTGTGTGACTGGCGTCTTAATATTGTCATGCTGCAATTCAAAATTCAGCTTCAATTTGCAATTCGACCCTGTTATATTGACCCTTGGTTAATCTAGAAGGTGCTAGACTTGATATAGAGATTTGTTGTGGTAATATTTTCTACTTTGATGGACGTGTTTTCCAATTTTTGCAGAAGACCAGAAATTTTCTGTGGGAGCGTTGAATCCTTTGCCTTATTATTTACAAGGCCTAGTGAATAAGCTCCTGCAAAATTATTCAATATCTTCAATTTTTTAAATTTGTTTTGGAGTTTTTCTTTCATTTTTCGGAAAAAGTGAGTTGATGTTGAAATATTTCTTTCATATCCTTGATCTGTAAGTTGAAATTTTTGGATGATGACTTGTGAGTTCAATTACTGTAGTGGAGTCTTACCAAGGGAACCAATGCCTTCTAATATCACTGTGAGGCTTCCTAGCTTGGAGGAGTTAGAGGCATTTGCTGTTGAACAATGGGAGGTATGAATTGCATTATATTAGTAGTTCTTGTATTTTCATCTTGCTGGAGAGTTCAGAATATGTAATAATATGTTGTGAGAAAATCTACTTTGCTATTGATCAATCTGCAGCTTGACTATAATTTTGGCAACTCTTTTTATGACTTGCAACTGTGGCAACCAGTGCTTTCTGCTGCACCTTATAAGCTCCAGTGAAGCTGGAAAGACCACAAACATAAGCTCTTCAATGATGAAAATTTTCCAGCGTGGCCTTTTAAGTCAGAGGTACTTTCTAGTGTAGTATTTTGGATAAATATTACATACACACACACATATGTATAGTGCTTTGTTCATGTATGTGTGGAAGATTTTTGAAATAATAGACATAACCTCAATGAGTTCATGCCTTCTTAAGCAGAGATGACAGGGAACCTCCAAGGTTGACTGAAAGTGGGTTCCAGTTCCTGGTACGAGTCACTAAGTTATCTCAGTCAGTCAATATCTCATTTGAAGTTCTATTCACCACCGTGTATAACAGCTGATGGACACAAATGCACAGCTTTGGTACATCATCAGGGAGTACATAACAAATGCTGAGGTAATAATTCTTGATGTTTTATTCATAGAACTCATTTTACCTCTTTCCTTTTCTCTCTCTTCTCTCTTGTTAGCTCTTTCATGGAAAACAGCATTCATTTTTTGAAATCCAATTACATTTAATAGTTGCTTGTACTTCACTTCGTTGACAAGTGTTCTGAGAGACTTTGAAGATAAGGCGGTAGGTGGGAAAAGTAATTTCAGAGCAGATTATTCTGCCTGCCAATTTAGGGAGCTGGTCATTCTTGCTGCCTATTCCGCATATGTAAGCTTCACGAAGCAATGCCAGTCCCATGCTCAGATAAAGAAAGAGTGTTGCGGGAAGTTGACGTCCCACGTAAAAATAGTCAAACTTTGATGAATCATTTGAATGCTGAAGAATAAAGCGGAATGGATACAGTCATACTGGGGTTCATATAAAATTCATATAATCTAAACTGGTTTGGGATTGAAACGTAGTTGAGTTGAGCTCATAACTTCCACCTTTGAGTTTACTGTTCTTCATCTCGTATTTTTTATTCACTCTTTCCTTTTTCTAATGTTTCCTTTATTTCTTCACTATTGTAAATTAGTCAATGCGACCAACATTCTGGAATGTATTCGCTCTATTATTTAAGATCTTGGTTGGAAAGATACTGTGCCTATGACCATAATGTTGAATAGATGTTGCGTTTTACCCAAATTCTGTAAATGATGGGCTTATGACTTTTACTTAATTATTTACACTGTATTTCTCATATTAATGAAGGAGCGAGGTGTGGATTCAGCAGATCTTATTGCATTTCTGTTGGAGCTAAGCTTTCATGTTACTGGCAAGGTATTACTAGACAGAGCTAGCACATTTTGGACTAAGTTTGCCCCAGAACTGTAGTAAATGACACTATCCTTTTAATTCTGAATGTATGGATTTTCGTTGGTTCTGGAGCACTAAGGTCTGCTGTTATTTATCCTTTTTTTCTGAGGATGCTTGATTTTTGTATTTTTTTTGAATTATATAGGCATACAATACAAACACATTAACTGATCTCCAGCGAAGTATAACTAAGGACCTTTCAGATTTGGGACTGGTCAAGCTGCAGCAGGTGAATACTACTAATTGCCCCATCAAAGGGCTCACTAGAATGAATGGAGCTTTTCTTTTCCGTGATGCTCATGGAATCCTATTTATCTATTTGTTGTTTTTAAGGGAAGGAAAGAGAGTTGGTTTATTCCCACCAAACTTGCCACCAATCTGTCAATTAGCTTAGCAGATACAACGTCCAGGAAACAGGTATGATGCACATATAAGCATTCTCTAGAGTTGTTGGGTCAAGCTACATAGCAGTCCATTTTTATTTATTTGTTTTCCATCTTTAGCATTATAATTTTCTTAAAACGGCAAATTCTGAATCAGAAATTTAGAATTTTGTGCTTCCTGTCATCCATATTTAAGTCCTCGAATTCGTTTTTGTAATGGTGGGACAAGTTCAATGATACCTTACTGACTAGAAACACATCTATTGATTTCCTTCCTTCCCCCTTTCATCAGGGATTTATCGTTATTGAAACAAACTTCAGGTTGTATGCATATTCAACATCAAAATTACACTGTGAGATCCTACGCCTCTTTGCAAGGTACACGAACACTTGCTTCCATTGCGTGTGTTTGTTTCTGTCCTTTGGTTGGGAAAAAAAGAACATAAGGGAAGAATAGGCGCCAACTCTCTTTCTCTTGAATGTATAAGCATCTTTTGTTTCTTTTTGTTGGAATTGGTAAGAATACCATCGCGACCTTTATGTGGTGGATTGGTGCTCGTCAAGAAATGCATTACTCTTTTTGAATTATTAAATCTATGTGCTACGCTTAATATTCTGCTTGGCTGTTGAGTGTTGATTTTCTAGTAGTAGATCTCTATTCTTTCACTTTTGTGATTGAACTCTCTGAGTAACAAAATTTAACTGCAAATACAGGGTGGAGTACCAGCTTCCAAATCTCATTGTCGGTGCTATTACAAAAGAAAGTTTGTATAAAGCTTTTCAAAATGGCATTACTGCTGAGCAGGCAAGTTTCAGCTGCTATTTTGTTTATTGACAAGCATTGTCTTATTTTGGAGACCACTAATTAAAAAATATCTGAGAAAGTGAACTGTATTTGGAGTGCCTTATTTTATGTAAAGCAAAAGTTGAAGAAGGTTGATAGTGCGGGACATGTTTGTCAGAGATTCTTATTAATTCTTTGTCAGCTGCTATTGCTCAAGGAAAAAATATTCTTGATTAGCTGGTCGATGTTGGTAGTTGTTTAATAGCAGACCTCTGAAGAATGTTTCTCTTATAGTTTTGTGTCTGGTCCCTCAATCCACTTATCATGTCTAATATTATTTACATTGGTGCACCTTTCTTAACTAGTACATGCTTGAAAGCATGGGAATTACAGGAAGTATTGTGCTTCTGGTGCTATATTCTTACTGACTTCTGAATTTTAATTCTGTATGAATTGCAAAGGTTAAATATGAAAAGTAGAAACCTTTGCTTGTGTTGATCGGATTAATGTGTATTCAAGTTCCAATTATCCTCATCCATAGCTATTAAATGTATTAGGTTAAATGTCATGTTGATTGGTTTATCCCCTCCAAAAAAAAGGGAACAAAAAGTCATGATGATTTGCCAAATGTTTCAAGTAGAATTATAAGTTATTCTATCTGGACGTGGTTATAATTGAGCAGTTGCAATACAATTTTTTCACTTGAAGTTTTTGACCTGTGGTGCTTTGGGTGCATGGAATTTGCAGATAATTTCTTTCCTTCAGCAGAATGCTCATCCTAGGGTTGCAGAGAGGATACCATCTGTGCCAGAGAATGTTACTGATCAGGTTTCTCTTACTATTTCATAGCATTGAAATTGAATGACAGTAAAGCTCTAGTAATAAAAAATACATTTTGGTTATTTGTTGGATGATTACTGATTGGACCCCATTTATTATTTATACTGATTCATTGGTAGAATATATTCTTGAGTAGTATCACATTCCCATCACTGTGGCCAACCAGAAGCTGTTAAGCCAATTCAACAGTATATGTCTTCATTGACAAATACTGATGAAAGGATTATTAGGAAAACAAGTTCTTTTCAAGTCAACTAATTCAACTAATACTTTCTCATGCCAGATTAGATTGTGGGAATCAGATCTGAATCGGGTTGAGATGATTCCCGCCCACCTCTACGATGAATTCCCTTCTAAAGTGAGTGCCAAGATATATGTTATTTGCATTACAAACTTATTTGATTAACGTTTTAATTTTTATGGCTATATGACATGATTGCTTTTGTTTACATAACTGTAGGATGTCTTTGAGGCTGCATGTGATTTTGCCAGGGAATATGGAGGATTACTGTGGGAGGACTCTAAGCAACTGCGCATCATAGTGAAGGCTGATATTTTGACAGAGATGAAGGAATTCCTTCGTCGTCAAAAGTAATAGCTCATTTGTTTTCTGATGGCCTTCATTTTGTACGGGGAGTAAAATTGATGAGGGGTGTTGTGGCTAATATACTGTACATGAATTTTGTTGCGGGTGTATCTTTTTATTGCGCTTCAGCTGCCTTCTTTCTTATTCCAAAATTTTGGGGTTTAAACATTATTGAAGAAAAGTGCTGTCGAATGATTGTTGGTCAACCTAGATTAGAAATATCTTTTATCAAAGGAAACCAAGAGGGCTACATCATGCTCCCTGCATTTGCAGAGTACGTGCTAACAAATTCTTCGTCTTTATCCAGTGTTGGGAGCAAGAATGGCATACTCTTCAGCTTTCGATACCTAGTATATCTACACTTTTAATGGAATTACAAATCATCTTTCCCTCGCATATGCTCTTTAAATGTTGCCAGTGAAGTGATCCCGGCGACAAATATATTAGCTTTTTGGAAGAGTTGTAGAGATAACAATACTATGACTTATTGATGCCATTATTTCTTCTGAGCATCACAATAGCAGATGCTCAGATATTCAAGACTTTGTCAGTTGTTTCATCTGCGGTAGTTATGAAGTAAAACCCAATTCTCCCAATTAATTTTCTTCCTTGGTTGCGAATGCATGCCTCCTTTTGAATTATATAGGAAGAGGAGGAAATTTCTTAAGAGAATTCACACACAGCTAAATAAAGAAAAACGAAGATAAGGTAACATTCAAGTCAAATGACAACCTAAAAGAACATTTTCAGTATGTCTGACAAAACATCAGTGGCTTGGGCTACGATGAAGATGTTCTCAATCTTCTCCATTTATATCATCACATCATATCTTACTGCCTAAGCTAACTAATTGCAGTTACAAAATACTGTATCTACTTAGAATCATTTGGCAATATATTACTGTTAACATAATTCTCGAAATAGACAGTTGTTATCCGACCCCATCTTTGGCAATCAATTTTCAGGTTATACAAAAACAGCAAGCAACTGATAATTGAGTAGGTCCTCCAACAAAAGTAGAAAGAATAAGCTCTTTTCCTTCTTTTAGCATATCTACCTGGGCAATTCTTGCATATCCTAATTTCTTACAAATCAAGACTCCAAACAGTTATACTAAATGTAACAATATGCTCTGTCATGCATTCTTCAAAGTTATCATTTCAGAGATAAGAGCTAGCGCTCTTCTAATTTCCCTACCAAGTGAGTGAACAGTTACTCTTTATAGTACAAGATGGTAAAACCTGTGAAGGTTTGCCTGCAATGGTCCCTCAAGTTCACAAATCTAACAATAGGATTTGTGGGTATTGCAATGCTTTTCTATGGCATATGGATGATTAGAGTTTGGCAGCGTGATGCTGCGGACTCACATTCATCCCTTGGTGAGTTCTCAACTTAGTGGTATTACTTTCACAACCTTAATTTGTTTATTCGCTTTGACCACTGGTGTAGCTTGAAATGTAAAAATGTCACACCTGAGATTCAAACGTGTGACGTAAACTAATTTTTGAACCACCTTTGCCTCTACACTAGCAGAGGCAGAGATATGATTTCAAGTTTATGGGTTCGAGATTCTAATCGTTTTAAGCTACTGGGTTCTAAATTAATAATTTAGATATATATTTAATAAATTTTTAAGACATATACAAGGTTCGAACCAAAGCTACCGGGTTCGGTCGAACCCGCTCCCGGCACTGTAGCTCCGCCCCCTACACTCGAAACTTCACTTATATCAAGGGGATTCAACTATTTGCAAAGTATATCTTTCGGTGAAAAGGATTAAATTGAACCCCCTTTAGACCATGTAGCTCTGCCCCTAATTTTAACTCCTTGCCTATAATACAGTCTTGGCATAAAAGAAATGTTAATACTGCTGAAATTCATCCATGCATTTCTTGGTATTGGCACTGCTTTGTGTGCTATCACTTGCCTTGGCCATGTTGCTGCAAACTCTGCCAACTCCTATTGCCTCTCTTCTGTATCCTTCTTATAGATAGTTCTCATATATGCTTGTAGGAAAGGAGCTGCATAGAAAGAGATCAAAACAATAATTATAGTATATGTTCATCATATTTGTGCTTCTTCTATCAGAGATTGGAATAGCAGCTGACGTTTTGTTGAATTCTGACTGGGAGAAGGTATGCATGCATCTAAGAAATCTTTATCATATTGTTATTCAACTATTGTTATTCAAGTTAGCTTTCTGTATTCTATTGATCAAGACATCGACAAAAGAACCTCGTTGCTTCTCTCCAATGTTCTGATTATGTTTTTTACCTAAATCANTTTTTTTTTTTACCTAAATCAGGATTTACCAGAAGATCCATCAGGAAGATTTGATGATTGTAGACAAGTAAAAATTATTGAATTTAGTCCATACAAAATTTGGATTAAATTCTACATTATTTTGGGGCGAATAATTAATTTGGACTTTACAAATTAAATAAGTCAATTTTAATATTTTTAAGCCCAAGGTCCATTTCATGTTAAGGCCCACGCTCATGCCATGTGTCAAGTGACATGACATATCCAGTCAAACTCCAGGCCAATAAGGTGACGTCACGTGTTAAAATTATGTGGCAGTCTAGACCAAAACAGTGACCAATCAAGAGTTGCCAAGTGTCTAAAATGACATGTCTTAGCCAATCACAAGCAAGCTTATGACATAGCTTATGTGATAGGGTTGATGACTCACATGAGCCAATCAGAATCAAGCAAAAGAGTTCATATGTAGCTGGACTGTCCATCCTCTACAACTATAAATAGAGGGGTTACATAACTCTCGGAGGACATTCAGAGAGTTGGAGAAGAACATTCCGCAATTGGTGAAGGCATCCACAAACACAGAGATCAATCATCAAGTACATAGTTCTTCAACAAAGGAGTGATCAACGAAGTTATTCCCGGAGTTCAACCCGTAACAACAAAGTGCTGCTCGATATTCTTGGCGATTAAATACATCACAAGGAGGTATGCATCGTCCTACATTCAAGAAAGACGCTTCTCAGGCCCTCGAATCACGAAGAATTTTAGAGAGGAGAATCAAAGGATACATAAAATTGTACTCACAAATATTTATCAATGAAATCTCTTTTTCTTCATATTATTTTTGTTACAGTTTATTTTTCGGACTACGAAAATTTGTTGCGAACAATGATTTCAAGGAGTTTGTGAAGTCGAATAGCGGTGTATTCCAATGGATTTCCCTATTTGGTGTTCTAGCACAGGTAAAAAAAAAAAACCCCTTGAAGAAATTTCAGAATGTTTTGCTGTCTGAAGTAATGTTATGTGGTTCTTGATCAAATAATTTTTATAAGCAGGGGTGTTCTATGATATTGGCTACAATGCTAAGAACTATTGGGAAAGTTAAGGAATATAGCTATGAGAATGAAGGTGAATATTGACGAGGCCAATGTGTATTGGAATTTTCTACTCTGTTGAATTCTAGTATAGTTTAAGATATCGTCCCACAGTCCTGGATAATCTATGCTACAGACTTGTAATATTTTAACTACTATTTGAGAGAAACAATGGCACGACCCGAAATCTCACCCGTCGTGATGGCGCCTATCTCAATACTAGGCAAGACGACAACATCAATAACCCACAATTTTTTTTAAATACGGAAAATATAATAATTAAGTTTAAGAGAAAATCTCACAAATACTGGATATAAATACACTCCTAAAATCCGGTGTCACTGAGTACATGAGCATCTATACGTTACAAGTCTGGAAAATACGGTCTATAATAATCTGATGCCAAATACAGTAAATAAGGAGATAGGGAAGGGGAGACAAGATCTGTGAAATACGGTAGCTACCTCTGAATCTTCGAAAAATCAACTGTGCGAAAGAATTAACACCCACTATGTCCGGAATCACCTGGATCTGCACACTAAGTGCAGGCTGTAGTATGAGTACAACCAGCTCAGTAAGTAACAATAATAAATAAGAACTGAAAGTAGTGACGAGCTTCACAGCTAAGTCCAAATATAGTGATTTTCAACATAAAAGAGTAGGCATGCTTTCAAGTTCAACATTTAAATTCCACAGTAATTTCATATCAACTTCGTCTGAAACAGAATATAATGTCTTTCATAAATTTCCAAAAAAGTGATATATGACAGCTGAAATGCAGCAATAATGAAATCAATGCATCCTCTTAGAGTAACAGTCACTCAGTCCTCTCATTCACTCCAACCTCACAGTCACTCTTTTCTCACAGTCACTCATTCTTCTCAATCACTCAGCACTCGACACTCGCACTCAGTAGGTACCTGCGCTCACTGGGGGTGTGTACAGACTTCGGAGGGGCTCCTTCAGCCCAAACGCTATAAGAAGCCAATCATGGCATAAATCAATAAAACATGCTACAACGTGCAGCCCGATCCCATAAATATTCTCACAATTAGGCCATCGGCCTCACTCAGTCATCAACCTCTCCAGTCTCTCGGGCTCTCAGAAATCATGATAAGTAGCCCAACAACAATAATATGATGCATCAATAATGAAAAAGAGAGACTGAGATGTAATATGTAAGTAAAATCGTGACTGAGTACAAAATAGTAATTTAACAGATAATTTAACATATACACGACCTATGTGGGTCCCAACAGTGTCAACACATGGTTTAAACATGATTTATAGTTTAATTTCCCTAATACGTGAAAAAATGTACGGGTAACAATAATTTATTCAACTACACAGATCCATGGAATTGACCAATAGCCTGTTTGGCCAAGCTTATATTTGGGCCAAAAGTGTTTTTTTAAAGCCAAAAGTACTTTTGGCTAAAAATTGAGGTGTTTGCCAAGCTTTTGGAAGGAAAAAAAAGTGCTTTTGAGGAGAAGCAGAAGCAGTTTTGAGAAACAGAAAAAAATAGTTTCTCTCTAAAATCACTTTTCTGAGAAGCACTTTTGAGAAAAATACACTTAGAAGCAATTTTTAAAAGCTTGGCCAAATACTAATTACTGCTCAAAAATGCTTTTCAAATTAATTAGCCACACACAATCTACTTCTCACTAAAAGCACTTTTTTAAAAAGTACTTTTGAGAAAAGCACTTCTCAAAATAAGCTAATTTTAGAAGCTTGGCCAAACATGCTACAAGTCACAATTCCTACGGTACACGCCCATCACCTAGCATGTGCGTCACCTCAAAACCAATCACATAACACATAATCCGGGGTTTCATACCCTCAAGACCAAATTTAGAACTGTTACTTACCTAAAAATCACGTAATTTCTTACTCCGCTATGCCCTTGCCTCGTGAATTGATCTCCAAACACCCCGAATATAGCCACAAGCAGTACAATACAATCAATATAGGCTAAAGGAATCAATTCCACAAGAAAATACGAAATTATAGCCAAAAATCCGAAATTGGCTCAAACCCGAC